GTCCAGAAAAATCCAGGTCCTGAGGGTGCCGTACCTGGGAGGTACAACTTGTAGCATGCTTTTAAGTAACACCACAAATAAATCTTTTGCTTTAAAATGCTTGTGGATTAATAAAGAGCTGTAGGACATTGGTAACTAAAACTTTAAACTTAAAATTTAGCATTCATATGTTCTCATCATGACTCAGCCACTGGATGAAAGAAACAAAAAACTGTGAACTAAAATCCAGGTCCCATGAAGTCAATAGCAAAGCTCCCTTTGACTTCAGTGGGGACAGGTTTCATCCCTGGTTTATGAAGCACAGTTCATTTGGTTAAGAAACAAAGTCTCCTAGGCTTGGTCTACACCAGTGTTTCCCAATTTTATTTGGCCACGGAACCCCTAGAGTTGCCTTAAATTCAAAGAGCAAAAAAAAAAAAAAAAAAAAAAAAAGCCCTCGCCATGGCTCTGTCTCTTTAACAGGGGGCGGAGGAGTGCCGGCTCTTCGCAGAACCCTTGCTTTAGCTTTGCGGATCCCCAGGGTTCCCCGGAGCACCAATTGGGAAACACTGGTCTACACTATAGCAGAAGGCCAACTTAAGATACTCAACTCCAGTTTACATTAATTATGTATCTGGAGTCAACGTATCTTAAATCGTGTTTCCACGCTGTCCACACAGGAGGAGGTAGACAAGAATAAATGCTCCTGTCCATTTCCCTTACTCCTTGAGAGGAGCAGTAGTACTGTGGCTGATGGAGGAACCATCTGAGTTCAATTTAGCAGACCTATTCTAGACCCGCTAAATCAAACCCTGGAACATCAACTGCAGCAGTATCGATCTTCCATGTAATGTAGACATGGCCCTAATAAAGGCATTGTTCTATACTAATCTAAGGTGGGAAATTGCAAATGCAAAAGGTAGCCTTAAAACTGGGATTTTGCCATCTTTTCTTAATTACATATAAAGAGGAAGACTTGAAAAATGGCAGTGATTAAATTCTGCTTTTTTTATTTACACTGCAAATTCAGGTTCAGTCTAGACTGGAATATTTTTGATACTCAGAACTAGTGAAATGGTCACATCAAAAGAACCAGAGTAAACAAAGTAAACAGAGTAAAAAGAGACAAAAATAAGGAATCCTGTGGCACCTTACTGATTAGCTAATTTATTTGGGCATTAGCTTTTATGGGCTGGAACTCAATTCACCATATGTATGAAGTAGAAACTATATGTTGGCAAGGATATATACAAAGATGCAAAGATGGGAGTATTACTTTACTAAGCAGAGGACAAATCCTAAGGAGGCTAATTCAAAGACAGTGGATGTGGCTCACTCTCAAACAGCGGAAAAGGTGAGAATACCAAAAGAAGAGAAATTATTTTTTCTAGTGAGCTGTCATTCCCACTTTTTAGACCCAGTGTATTTGTGTCAAGTTTGCATATAAATTCCATCTCTGCAGTTTCAGGTTGCAGTCTGTTTTTGAAGTTTTTTTGTTCAAATATGGCAATTATCAATTCTCTTACTGAGTGTCCAGAGAGGATGAAGTGCTCTCCTTCTGACTTTGAATGTTGCCATTCTTGATTTGAGCTCTCAAAACTAGAGACTCATAAAAAAACAAGCGTCCACACAAACTTCCATTTGTCTGGAATTTACAAAAACAAGACAAACTATAACACTGACTTTACTTCCCTGCAGAAGGAAAAAGACAGCAAACTTTCTAAACTCCTACATGCCATAGGATACTACAACTACGATACTCAATTCACCTAACAACATTGTTTATTTATCCAATCCTTTCTAAACTCCTACATGCCATAGGATACTACAACTACGATACTCAACTCACCTAACAACATACTTAGCTTGGCAGAAGAGTCTGTCTTTTCTCTGGGACTCTTTCTATCCCACTACTCCCACGCACATGATACAGTTCTGCGGTGAGCTAGAAGCTTATTTTGCTGCCTCCAACTGGAGGAGTATTTCCAACACACCACTGACCATTACACTGACCCACAGAATCCCTCCTTCCAACACAACAAGAAAAAGAATTGGATGTGGATTCCTCCTTACAGCTGAAATGCCAGACTATACCACTACATTGATTGCTTCCGCAAACATGCACAGGTTGACACTGTGAACAAACAACATCATGTGACACAAAACATCAGCCATAGAGAAAGCAATGCTATCTACAGCCTCAAAAACAATTCTGACAATCAAAAAGGCTGCCATAGGGGGTGCAGTAGCCATCATGAACAGATGAGATTACAAAGAGGAGGCTGCCAGACAACTCACCAACACCACATCCTACAGGCCTCTTTCCTCTGATCCCACTGAGGAAAACGAAAAGAAACTACACCACCTGTTCAAGAAACTCCCTGCTACAGCTTGGGACCAAATCTACACAAATTCACTCTCAGCATATTCCTGGTTGGGACTCTATCTGCTACTCAAGATCCATAAACCTGCAAATTCCAGATGTCCCATCATCTCAGACATTGGCACCCTTACAGCAGGATTATCCAGTTATGCTGACTCTCTCCTCAGGAACTACGTTATCAGCACTCTTAAATCTCTTTGAGACATCACTAAGGGTATGTCTACACTACGAAGTTAATTCGAACTAACAGACGTTAGTTCGAATTAACTTTGATAGGCGCTACGCATACAATACGCATACAATAGGCGCTTAATTCAAACTAGGTAAACCTAATTCTACAAGGACTAACGCCTAGTTCGAATTAAGTAGTTCGAATTAAGGGCTGTGTAGCCACTTAATTCGAACTAGTGGGAGGCTAGCCCTCCCCAGCTTGTTAATTCGAACTAACAGACGTTAGTTCGAATTAACTTTGATAGGCGCTACGCATACAATACGCATACAATAGGCGCTTAATTCAAACTAGGTAAACCTAATTCTACAAGGACTAACGCCTAGTTCGAATTAAGTAGTTCGAATTAAGGGCTGTGTAGCCACTTAATTCGAACTAGTGGGAGGCTAGCCCTCCCCAGCTTGCCCTGGTGGCCACTCTGGGCACCACCAGGGAAACTTATCTGCCCCCCTCCCGGCCCCAGAGATCTTAAAGGGGCACGGTCTGGCTACGGTGCCCGTGCCAGGTGCAAGCCTGCCAGCACCCAGCCAGAAGACCCTGCACCTGGCACAGCACAAGCCAGCCACCCACTGCCACCCAGCCCTCCACCTCTTCCCAGGACCAGGCTGGCGGTTCCCAGGAGCCTGCCCAAGGCCGCAAGAGACGGGCCCCTGCCTGGTCTAGTGCAGAGATCATGGATTTGGGGGGAGGCCTCCAACGTCCACAACGACCA